CACAAATATAAGGCAATAAACCAAATATAAGGCAATAAACCAAAATGTTCACAGCATATTACCTTCCCCTCTACTGTTTTTTTCAAATTTTCTATAATGATCATGTATCTTACAGCAACAACGAAAACAGTTTATATTCTACAGATTAAAGTGAAACTAAAAAACAAAACACTATGAAAATCCGATTTCCTAAACTAAATCAAAAGCTTGTTTCTTCCCCACCTCAGATGATAGTTCATTAATGCCCAGGATATGGTCTGATATATATAAATAAGTTCACAAGCGGGCCGGGCGCTCCTGCAGAGGGTGGCTGTAGATGGTATTGTCCACGCGCCCCGGGGAGGCCGCGATGGGCGGCTGGCCCGCCCCACGGGCAGGTTAAGGGAGCGTGAGTGCTGCGGGCCCACCGCTCCCAAGCCCGCGCAGCCTGGCGCTCAGCGGCTCCCCCTTGCCTCCCGGCTTCCTGCACCGGCCCGCACTCATCACGAGTCCAGCTGGAGAGCACTTGCAAACCAAGATGCAGCTGATAGGAACGTTAAATCTACAGATTCTTAAAAGAGAGAAACATGATGACAGCTTATATAGGACTTTGCTCATCAAAGATTACAGGTAACTGGTTTTCCCAAATTGCTGTTTCCTGTTCAACTCTGCCAGTCAAAACGGGTGTTTCAGACACAGTAACAGTTTATTAAGGAGATTTCCCATTATAACTAAAAGACAGACCACCTCTGAGATAAACTAAAACTGGCTCTGGACCTGCAATTGTGTCCTATTCCTTTTAGGACATTTAAACTACTGAAACGTATGCTAATTTGAAATATATTTACAAATATTACCGTCTCCTGAGGTAATGGCCAAACTACACTTCTCAGAAATAAATATGACGCCTGCACCTTGAAAACCCTGAGCAAACAGAAAACAAGCAAGATAAAATAACGTGCGATAGCTATTAGTTTATAGACACACATTTCTGACTATTCACTGGCACATTGATAATCAACACTGAAAACAACAACTAAGTGACACATTATGGAGAGCTTTTCACAGACTGCTCCAGATTGGTTTCCACTGACCTCCAGTGGAAGAACAAAGGATTCCTAAATGCCTGTCTGATCCTTTGTTTCTTTCCCTAAGTTTCCTTATTTCTGAGCTCCTCCATTCAATTCATATCCGTCCTTGTTTACCCTCTCCACACGCCACTTTGTTTCTGGGCGCAGGTAAATATCAACTCTCCTTCCTGGCCATGGCAGGGTGATAAAATTCATGAAGACAAAGTTCATGAAGACACTTAGGATGGGAATTTCATAACCTTTTGTTGGGGACTCTAAGATGGCCCTCAGCGACCCAGGCCTCCTCCGATGCACCCTGGTGTAGTCCCCTCTCCTTGACGGACTGGACTTGGTGACTTGGCCTTGGGTCAGCAGTCTTGTTGGCAGACTCTCCCTACCCTCCCTGGCAGGCTGCCATGCTGCAAGCTGCTCTGGTGGAGTGGCCCATACGGCAAGGACCTGGAGGATGCCTGCAACCCGCAGCCAGTAAGAACCAAAGCCCTCAGTCCAACTTGCTAGAGGCTAAACTTCAATCAGATCCTTCCCTAGCTGGACCCTCAGATGAGACCCCACCCGTGGCCAATACTCAGCAGCTTTATGAGACTCAGAGGCAGAAAACCCAGTTAAACCGCACCAGGGCTCCTAACACAAAAACTGAAATAACGCATGTTGTTTTAAAAAAAAAAAAGTGTGTTGCCTGGCCAAGCATGGCTCAGCAACTGAGCATCGATCTAGGATCCAGGAGATCACAGTTCTATTCCTGGTCAGGGCACATGCCTGGGTTGCAGGCTCGATCCCCAGTACGCGGATGACTCTCTTCATTAATGTTTCTCTCTCCATCTCCCTTCCTCTCTCTGAAATCAATAAAGATAGATTTTAAAAATAATAATGTGTTGTTTAAAGTTTGCAGGTTTTTATCATGCAGAATAGGCAACTAATACAATGGTTCTGGTTTCCTCAATCTGAACTTAATCCTTCATTTCCTCCCATTCATCCCTAATACAATGCTTTGAATTCTTAATTTTATTTACCGTTTTTTTCTAGTTCTCCAGTTTATATTTGGTGCTTTTGGAAATCTGCGGTTATATTTTTTAGTTTCCAATATTACAGTGAAATTTTCCATGTTATTATCTCCTTGAACATAATATAAAGTCTGTCACACAACCCAAATATTTGGTGCCACTTTGGATGTTTCTATTGTCTGCTGTTTCTGTCAGTTTTCATTCCTGCTGGGTTTCTCCTCCTGTGCTGTAATACAGAGATACTGTATTAGAAAAACTGTATTAATTACTTGAGGCCTAGAAAAATGTTTTCTCCAGATTTGCACCTTTCAGATCCCTAGTGCACTAGTTAACCCACATTTAACATTTCCGATTCCTCTGGCCTATCTAGGTGACTCAGTTTTAAGCTACATTCTACATGGTTTACTTCTGGTCCACCCTACCCCAAGGATGTGGTTCTTCAGATTACTCCACCAGTGTCCCTGGAGGTCCTTCATGCTCACAAGGCTGTTAAATGCTACTCACCCTCTCAGCCTCCTCCTCTTAGTTACAAATCCCCCCTTCACAGCAAAAGAGGCTCATTACCAGGCTTACCCTTCTGGACTTGTTCCTTCCAGGCACCAGCCTGCCAATTATTCACTTCCTTGTTAGCTCTGTAATGCCTCCAAGTCGGTTTCCAAATAATCTAGTCCACCATTTAGGGAAGCAGAAGTTGTGTTTTTTGTTGTTGTTGTTGGTTTGGTTTTTCGAACAGGTTAACTGGAGCTTCCTGGCTAGTCCGGGTTTGAATCACCATTTGGGTCCCTTCTTTAGTCAGATGGGCTCAACCTTATGAGCATCCTAACCCTTTTTCCACAGCTGGGAAGTGTGGTGCTAGAGACAATCTGATTCAGGGTAGAAGGGACACTAAATACCCAGTGTAGTGTCCAAATATCCCCTGGTTGCCAATTTTAGCTCCTTAAAACCAGACAAAATTTCTCCCAACCTCCTCAGCAAACTGTCAAAACAAAACAAAAATCAGGATTCACGTTGCCCTTCACGCAGCCAAAGAGGAAAGAAACAGGGCTTCATGTATTTTGTCAGGTAACTTTCCATATCATCCTCTACCTCAAAAACCAAGTTTAATCTGGTTTAATTATCTCAAACAAAATTGAATTCTTCTGAACTTACCATCACTGGAATGTTTATTGTTGGAGAACTGAGATTTCTAAAGCCTAAAAAGTAACTGTAAAGGCTAAGTTTTGCCACCAGTAATGCAAGTTCTCAGCGATCTTGACCTCAGGGGTCATAAACTCAAGGCCTCAGAACAAAACACCTAACAGAAATTAGTGGGGTAGAACTAAGAAGCGGGAGGACAATGACAGAGAGAGAATGTTCCCTGGAAAGGGACCCAGAACAATTTCCAGTTCCTGTCTACTGTTAATACGCAAGAATGTAAACCTTGAGTCACCAGATCTTAGGTTTTAAAAAGAATCTGATGTGTTTTACAGCCCCTCTCTTAATGCTGACAATGAAAACAAAAAACCCACTGTGTGGGGCCAGATGAAAGGCATAAACAAAACTCAGTTGCTAAACTAAATGACCCTGATACCCGTTTGTTCCAGCTCTAAATGCCGTCACCTTCATTATTAGCATTATTCATAAGAGAACACTTGACTTTCGAAGATCCCAACAAAGTGCTTACAGCATATTTTTAGTTTACAAGTAAAAGTTTCACCTGAAGATCCAAAAAAATACTTTCAAAGTGGCTAAACATAAAAGCTTTCATTTTCCTAAGATCAGGAAGCTTTGTAGCTACTCAAACCTAGCATTAAAATAATTAAGTACAGCTTGCTCATTTATAAAGCTATTTGGGATGCACACTGCTGCGTTACACATCTGTACTGTATAATGTAAGGTCCTAAGTCCATAGCACAATGAGTGTGGCAATTCCCATTTTTAATATGTATATGTATCACATCTAAAAGACGATAATTTGTGAATATCTTTATATCAACATAATTTTCATAAAAAAATATTCTGAGGATGCATGTTTGAATTAAATCATTAAAGCATCATTTATAATCATTACATACTGATTTTTTTACAAAAAAGGATGGTTACTTTCTTCTGTCCTCAGTTTTCTAAACTGACTGATATGTGAGTTTTTGCTGATTAAGTCTAATATCACCAAGCAAGCACTAAGGTAAAACTTCCTTTCTTTTGTCCAAAAACTAAAAAGGCAAAAAACAAAAACAAAATAACAAATGAGATCCTATTTATCAACTTGGATTTCCCATAAATTCATTTCTGAAGAATGTTACACTTGCATTTTCAATCCAATAGCAGTTCCTTTACGTATTCTTAAAAACAAATAATTTTCTAACTGTAACCTTTTAAAAATGCAAAAGGTCAAAATCACACCTACCCATTAAACCTCAGGCCTAGGTACACACTTAGAAAACACCAACCTATTTCTGAATCTCCATGACTAACTCTACCCTACTTTTCATCACTGTGGAATTTGGTAATTAGCACTTGGGATTTCTGCATTTGTATTGAAATGCGCACTTAACCTATGTTTTTTAGTGATTTATAAAAAAAACTTGGACAAGCTTATAAAATGACTTGAGTAGCACTCCAAACACTAGGTTTGTTTCATGGAAATTTTCTATAATTCACAGACTGTATTGCTCTGGGCCCTTGTGGAAGGTGTCTTAGAAGTGAAATTATAGGACATCCTGGGTAGACTGAAAGCAGTGGGCTAAAGATGGAACAGAACACACACCTTTCAAAGTCAACACTCTCAAATGCTGTTCCTTCAGTTTAGCAAGCACTGTGACAATCGTCCCCAGGCTTCTAGCTGAGGTGACTATCACTATAATTGTGACCTGTCTTCAAATAAAGAGCTCAAGGGAAGGGAGGGAAGGAGACAGGGAGGGAGGGAAAGAACCAGTATTAGTCATGTGACTACAGTACATAATGGGCTATTTTAACTATTCACAATAGGTTATATAAAATGGGAAGTGTAAGCATGCTTATACAAAGGTACATTCTTTTGTTCACTAAAAATGTTTTGAACTAACCTTAATTCTCAGTAAGATTAACAACTTTACCACCTGGCAACTAATTTGAAAACACAGCAAAGCTAGTTTCCTAATCTTAGAGCAAATAACACCGACTGAAACATGTGAGCATTACTGCTAAGTGCTAAGCACCGAAGTTGCCAAATTACATCACATCAGTTATGCTATTAATCATTTGTTAATTTAAAAAAAAAAAAAAAGTCACTTAACTCCCCTGGGACTGAGTTTCCTCTATCTGCAAAATACCATTTATGTTTAAAAGGAGTTTGAATAAGACTCTGAAAGTTCTATTATCATGTTAACAAAAACGTTTTAAAAAGGAAGATATTAACAAAACATCCACATATGCATCAGCAGTTGAATTATTACCCTCATACCACCTTTAAAATCACTTGGAACACCGGGTATTGAAAACACCTAAATCAGTCTCATCAATTAGTCATTTACAAATAAAATCACTTTTAAATCAACATACTATCTCTAAAACTAAATCTTTCAGCATGTATTTTGAGAATGAGAGGTCTAATCACAGGTTAACATAAGAAATCTTTGTTTCAAAACCAGTGCATTTAACATGTGGCAGTCACAAGTCTCGTCACTGAAATTCGTTTTATTGTTGCTTCAGTGAAATTTAAGGTTCCCAAAGCCCCAAGTCCAACGCTTCTTCTTAGTTTTCCAGTAGCGGTGATGGTGACTTGTCTTCTTTTGGCCTGTTCAGTAGGAAGTGAACTATCTGCAGCAGAACATCATCATTAAAACCTTTCACATCATTGTCTTCGATGGCTTCATACAGAGGCATACTTTGTGTCCCCCAACATATATTTTTACGAGTGTTATTCTGATCAGCTTGTGCAGTCAGTGCCAGAGTATTTAACTGGTAGCAGAAAAAGGAAAAGTATTTTCCATCTGTGATCACGCCCTGAGAGACAAAAGGTCGAGTAACATCTGCTTCGCTCCAGAATCCTAGAGAAGAAAGTTACACTGAAACTTGCACAATACATTTTACCCAAACAAAACATACACATTAGAGGGTATGGAGTACCTGCTAAAACCTAGGTATTTACCAACCACTTTCCTAAAGATCTCATCAAAAAATAATTTCCCCCCATCTACTATCCCCAACTCATGACCCATCTTTTCAACAACTTCTGCCTTCAAGAGCTTTCAACCTTAACTCACTTCATGGAAGAGCAGCAAGCTGTGCCTATGCAGGCTTCCCTGCATCGGAATTAACTACATCACTGCTCACCAACTTCAAATATGTTCAAAATTTCCCCACACCAGTAACATCTACTATCCAATAACCACAACAGCCACTTACTTTACCAAATCTACACAAAAAAAAACAAAAAACCCTTCAGAAAAAACTGCCTTTCTCAGGACTTCAACCATGGCCTTAAACAAATTCTGTGTCTTCCTTTTCACATTCAAAACTGGTTTTATGAGCTGCTGTCATTTCACTTAGCAAGTCTTACGTGGTAAGGGTCAGCCTTCAGTACTCAAATGTCCCAACTGCTTCTTATCCAGGCTGACTTGCTTTAATACTTTAAAACCCACTGCCAGGGCCACCCAGTAGCCTGATTTCCACACACTTATAACAGCCTTAATGGAGACAATCAATAATGTTGTTAAAATATGGAATTAATTATACTGCAAAAGGTATTTTATCTTTCATGAATAAACAGTGCCATTCTAAGATCTTCAAGAAAGATTCCCCACTTATTTCTATTATAGAAATGCAAGTCAACAATTTTTAGTATAAGGTTAAAATATATACATAGAGGAAAAAGGTGAGCTTGGCAATAAATGAATCCTTATTAAAATTCCTCCTAGGAACTTACACAGAATTAAGCTGGGTACATAGCACACTACTTCAGGTTTGTAATAGAAGCCAAATTCCCCACAATGGGCTCTAGAAGTCCTGTGTGATGAGCCCTCTGGCTCCTCCCTTTCTCCAGCTGCCTTCACGGTCCTGAAACACTTTGAGTCTGTTCTGACCTCAGAGACTGACTTGCCCTTCCGTCTGCCTGCAAATATCTTGCTCCCAAGTTTACACTTAGGCTACAGCCTATCACCACTGCTTCTGTTCAATCATTTTTCTGGAGCCCTCCTCTGGATTATTATGTTTATGCAGGTTCTGCCCCACATCTCATTTATACCTGCACCCCATTAACCAGCCCACCCCTCACCCAGTAATGTTCTTCAAGGTATTACCACCGCCTAACATCACCTGCCTGTTAGCCTTCACTCTCCTCACTGTAACATAAGCTCTAAAGCCTGGGATCTGACACTTTATCTCCCAGGCCAACAGTGCTTGGTGCACAAAAACATCCACTATTGACTAATGAACAAAACAACTCCTAATCCGCATCCTTCAAGTAAATTATAAAGTAGAGCTATGAGTGAATCTAAAATTCAATCCACCACAGCATGTCCTTTTCTGGCTTCAGAAAGCTGTTATCGTCTACAGAGCTGACTGAGCTGGCTATAGTCTCTGAAATGCTCGAGAGCACCATCAGAAAAATACACGTTCACACTACAGTGGTCCAAGTAAAAGGTGACGGAACTACCGAAGAGCCACTTGCCAATTGCAAATGTAAAATATTTAATTATGAATTTTAAAAACAAGTATGTTTTGTGGTAAGTTTTCAAAACGTTAAGATTCAACCTACATTTTAACCAAGGAAATAAACTATTAAATTTTTAAAATGTCACCTATCTTCCAACAACAATGCCATAGTTTTACCTTGATACATAGCTTGTGCTCCAGTCCAAGCAAAAAGGCTGGCAATAGCATTAGCTCTAAAAACAACTTCTATCTGATCAGCACAGTTTATTTTCAATAGTCTTTCCCTTTTTAACTTGTCTGGTAACAGGTGAAATTGGGTATGACCATAACAGTATGGATCTGCTGTCTTTGAGCCTGAAGAGCAAAAGAGAAACATGTGACATGAAATGACATATAGAGAACACCTGGAGCACCTGCCCTCAGTACCTGCTCTAAACCCATTCCTCTCCCCTATACATCATGTGAGCAGTATTCAAAATATGGAAACGGGAAGGTCAGTTTACTTATTTACTTATTGACTACATTAAAGTTACATTTCACAGGAAGTATAATCTGCTACCTTCATCAAGCCGCTCACCATGACACAAGATAAGCCAAAACAATGTAAAATGAATTTAAATTTCCTATTGTTTCAGTTTTTTCAAACACATTAGTCACCATAAGGATACAAACACTTATTCACCAAAGGATACACATACTTCATGACTTTAAAAACTTACCTTATTATTTCATTTTACCATTATTTTTTAACCCTCACCCGAGGATATGTTTGTTTTGGGGTTTTTTTATTGATTTTTAGAGAAAGGAAGTGGGGGAGAGAGAGAGAAACCGGATGTGCGAGAAACATTTCAATCGGCTGCCTCCCATACCCTCGGTATGTGCCCTGACCTAGAACATTGGAACCTGCAACCTCTTGGTGCACAGAATGACGCTCCAATTAACTGAGCCACCCGGCCAGGGCAAAAACTTACTTTATTATTTCAATGTAATAATTACATACTTTGTTCCTAATTTTAAAAATATAATTGATTTTTAATCTACATTCTAAATAAAAAAAAATAAGGGCCAACATTTTATAAAATGCTGACATTCCTGACTTTAGTGATAAAGTCAAAAGTCCCCCATAATTCACTAAGACCACAGTGATAGAGAAAGGGCTGATAAAATAGGTCTGGAGAACTAGTTTAAGCTGCTTTCTTAGAATATTCCACAAGTCTTCAGCTAGGAATTAATAGCTGAAGAAAAAACAGCAAAAGAATAAACTACATAAGGGGAGATGTCAAGGCTTATTAATTTTATATTCCTAATTGTAGTCACACTGTGAGACAAACAGCAGACTTCCATAAAACGCCAATCCCTGCCTCAAGTCCAGTTCTGTACTTTTTACTTTTGGAAAAGAACACAAATTACTTTTTCTATATAATACATCAACAAAGCCTAACAAGTATAACTATTTTCTGAAGTTAGATATTGCTAATTCAGTAGAAACAAGTAAAAGTTTAAATGGTGAGTTGAAAGAGTATTTTCTTCCCAACTTTCAGGCATACTGCAACAACCTGAGACTATGAATTATGTTTCTTGTGGACTATCTAAACCTTTGGTCATCAAGAATTAATTATGCAAATTAATCAAGGCACCTGGGACACATTTATGGCACAATACATCAGAAGAGAAACTTACCGATAAATATGGTATTTTCATATTGTCGCTTGAATAAGGGAAGTTTATCTGGCTTACAATTCATAACAGGAATTTCTATAGGTACAGAATAATCCAGCGGCACAAACTTAAAAGAAAAAGTCACAGTGAATTCACAGCAACACTAGTATATATTTTACTCACATTCTTAATAGACTTAAAAATCTTAAAATGAGATGTTTTGCAAGATGATAACACTACTATCTAATGATGGGCGCAATCCAGCCAGCCAGCCACCTGTTCTTACAAATAAAGTTTTATGGTGAATGGCTGTTAGAACTGAGATAAACAGTTGCAACTGAGAGTTATGCCCCCAAAGCCTAAAGTATTTACTATATGGATTTTTAAAGAAAAAAATGTGTCAACCTGATATGGACACACAGATAACACTAAAATACACTTGTTTTCTCCAAAAGAACTGTAAATACATAAAATGACCAATTTATAACTGTAATAAAAGCCTTGATATGTGATTAGATAGTGCAGATACCGTAAATTACAAGCATAGCTATTATTAGTTTTTCATATTTTTATATTAAGGGGAAAAAAAAGATCTGTATGTTCCTCAAAATTGATGCCTTAACCTCACTTAAAATGATTATTTGACCTGGGGAATACATACACCACAGCAGGTTACAAAGCTGAAAAAGAATTTCAGACGAGTTGTATCTGAATGAAACTCAAAAGGCAGGTGATCCATCCAAAACCTTTTACCCTTCCAAGCCCTCTACCTGGCCTGCCTGACACCTCTGCATCAGATAACAGGTGCACAGGCAATCCTTACCTCAGGGAGTTGTTTGGCTATGCGGATCTGGTTGTGTGGCTTATCATTTATCTGGTATCTCAAAGCGTCAACTCGCCCTTTCCGATGACCACGAGGAATAATTTCTTCACCACGCCACCAGTAGAAGTGAACTGGGCGTTTACAATCTGCCAAAAGGTATTTAAAACTTTCTTATCACTTAGATGAATTTGGTTATTATAATACCAATAATACAGAACTCAAAAATGATTTTGCCAATTAAAAATAGATCAAAATTACCCTCTGATGTAAGATAGTCTGGGTTAGTGATAATTTAAGTGATCATGACAAATACAAGGCTCAGATATTTATTTTCTACTTGAGTCAACACTGCATCGAACACTCTAACCAGTTTTCTCAATGACCAGAACAACAAGAATATCATACACCAGAAATAAGAAGTTTATAGGAGTCAGAGCTGCCTTATGAATGACCAATTCAACCTTCCCAGCAACTCTGAAAGGTATGTTTAGCTGTCATCTCCATTTCACAGAAGAGGAACCTGAGTCTTGAGAAGGTTGTTTTCCTAGGCCATCAGTCAGGAGTCCAAGTCCACGATGCTTCCCCCAGGACCACTTCCTTCCCAAGGGGGGGAAGCTAAGGCACAATGCAGCACGCAGCACACACATCTCCAGTAAGGGAACATCAACTCAATGAACATTCACTAAGATGCCTACTGGGTGGCAGACACAAGTGATGAACACGTCAGAAACACTGATTTTTAAAACTATCTATCCATTCATTATTTTTCACGTCTGCACCTAAGACAAGCTGCTGTTTACTGGGAACCCAGATGTCTGAGTCTGAATCCTGACCCCAAATCTACCAGCAACAGGCTCTTCTGTGTAGGGACCGTTTACATTTCTGTGCCTCAGGGATTTGGGGTTTTTTTTTGCTTTCATTTATAAAACCATGCTACCTACTGTAAACAGCTACTGTGAGGGTTAGTTGGCACCTGTAAAACTCAGAACAAGGCCAGGCCCACGGTGAGCTCTGAATAACGTACACAGTAGGCATCTTAATCAATGATGCCTTCCATCTTCACGATCCCATGGCAGGGCGCTCTCACCCTAACTCTCCTCTTGAAAGCGAGAGATTTTTACGGTAAGAGAGGTTCACAAGATGACCTGTGGTCGGGTAACTTTTTGGCCGAAGAGCCGAAAGGCAGCCCGGGNTTTTTACGGTAAGAGAGGTTCACAAGATGACCTGTGGTCGGGTAACTTTTTGGCCGAAGAGCCGAAAGGCAGCCCGGGTCTGCCCCAGTGTCTGGGGGCCCCTCGTCTGAAAGGACGCTGCTCCGCCCCTTGAAGGGGCCGTCACCAGGCCGAGTGGGCACCCGGGTCCCGCAGACCTGGGGTCCCACCCACGGCAGGACAGTGAGCTCGGTGGTGGCGCCCGGCCTCCAGGTTCCTAGCGCAGCAGCGACAGCTACTCCACCGCGCTGTCCCCAGCTAGGGGGCCAAGGGGGGGAAGGACTGTGACAAAGAAGCAAAGCGGGGGCAGGTCAAGGGCAGGGGGACTGTGACAAAGAAGCAGAGGG